TGTATTAATTTTAAATGAATATTTTGAAACTTTTAATTTCGAATACAATAAATACCAATATAACCTACAGTGAAAAGCTCTTTGGGGTTCTCAATAATTTCTAAGAGTGTAAAGGGATCCTGCGAACAAAGTTTGAGACGCAAAGGCTCTGATGCACCTCGGGATTGAAAAAACGTGTACGCCTTGTGATCACCAAGACTTCATGTTTTCCAGTCTCTATGCCTTCCTTGTGGTTTCCTGTCTGGATTGAACTTCTTCCATTTCTGCCTGCCAAATTCCTACCCTTTTAAGAGTATCTTGTTCTCCTTGAAGTTAACCCAGATTTTGCGGCCTCGGCACGCTGGGCCTTAAAGGGACCGTCCCGGCCTCCCTCGGGCACTGGTTCTTCTCAGCCTTGGGTATCACTCTGCGTTGACTGACTCTTGGCAGGCCGGTCTGGGTTTATCCAGACTTGGGCGCTCCTCACGGAACCAGCGCGTTCCAGCACCACATTCACGAACTAAGGGGCGGTGCCTGGGCTCAGCTAGGCCAGACGACGCGGGAAGGTCACCAGAAACAGCAAGGGAAGCCATTACAGCCGGTGGCGAGGAGGTGCGGAGGCACCAACAAACACCCTACGCCTCACGCGGTTCCCCACTCGCCCCGATTCCCCGGGAAGTCCGGCAGCGCGGGGGGGCGTGGCTACGCGCCCACAGGGGGCGTGGCCTCCAGCCCGCGCTGGGAAAGGGGCCGGCGCCACATGCGCGCGCACAGCCGGCGGCCACGCGCAGCAGACTCGGTGCCCGGATGGCGGCGGCGGCTACTGGAAGCGGGACGCCCCGGGAGGAGGAGGGCCCCAGTGGGGAGGCAGCGGCCCCGCATCCCCAAGCCCCTACGAATGCGCCCGGGGCTCGTCTCTCGAGGCTGCCTCTGGCGCGAGTGAAGGCCTTGGTTAAGGCAGACCCCGACGTGACGCTCGCAGGACAGGAAGCCATCTTCATTCTGGCACGAGCCGCGGTGCGGCGGGAGCGTGAGGAGCTCAGGGAGGAGGGCGGGGAGCGTGGCGAGGGGCGGGG